GCAGGGTAGTTACTTTAATTCACTGCAATTCTTGCCGGGAGCAGTCGTGTGTGATAACTAACAATATAATATTATAGTACAAGAGTTTATTACATATGTGAAATAAAACATAGTGAGACGTGACTCAAAATTAGTGACAATTTGGACTTATGAATCATTTCCTTAGCCTTGATTGGTATGTAAAAAATTATATTACACTTGAAAAAGGAACACCGAGTTCCTGTTGAGCGTGGACATACCTCGTCACTTAGTACTAAACATTTGTATGAAGCTGTGTACCAACATTAGAAAGAGAAATAGAAATATTCCTTATTCAAATAACTCAATACAAGCACATTTGAATAGTCATATTTTTTATTCTACCACTCATTCGGAACGCAGGCTCATCACAAGAAGAATGAGCGAGAAACTTGTGTGTTGCTGTTTTAAATAGATATTTTGTTAGTGTAATTATTACACAATAACAAGTAAGAAGAATATTAGAATTGGGTAAGAAACTATTTTAATCGACTTTTTGAGGTTACTTGTAACCCGAGAGCTGGTTACTTTGTCCAGAAGGTAAATATGGCGATTCAGAGGCGACACTGCCAGTATCTTGGGTAAGCTTCCTCAATGTGCCGCGTTGGATTACAATGATTGTTTTTTTTTTCTAAATGTAATTTTTTTTATGGATGATAATGGTATGGTGCACTCGCCTGCGCTAACGGTGTACATGGGCACCAGTGGAGAATGATAAGATGAGTATTAGGTCAGGTGTGTTAGCAAATGGCAATTTACCAAGATGGTTTGCAGAGAACCGCATGGAGTTCAACCTGACATGGTACATTGCTAGCAATAAGATAAGAATCATTATTAACAATCCTCTTTTCCCCTTGCGAATGTATATTAATCTAAATATATGTATCTATAAAAGTAATCTACATATATAAAAAAACAATTTTATAGGCATACTAGCTTTTGCGCGCGGCTTCGCTCGCGTAATTTGTCCCCTTAGGGGTGGAATTTATCAAAAACCTTTCTTAGAAGATGACTACGTAATAGTAGGTTTATGCATACAAAGTCTCAGCCCGATCGGATTAAAATTGACGAAGTTTCATATAAACTTTCATCCCCTATTTTATCCCCTTGTGGGTAGAATTAATCAAAATCCTTTCTTAGCGGATGCCTACGTCATAACATCTACCTGCATGCCAAATGTCAGCCTGACCCGTCCAGTGGTTTGGGCTGTGCGTTGATAGATCACTACGTCAGTCACCTTTGAGTTATATATATTTACATTATTTTGTATTAAGTGACATGAAGTGGTCCATAAAAAATAAAAAATATAATAGAACGACTAAAATAAGGACTAAACTCAATATATTACTCGCTATTCACTATTTATTAAATTACAAAAACTCCTGAAATAAATATAAAAATTTTAATTACTGTTAATCGTATGCGTCAGGCGGGAGTTGGCCTTCAGCCGCTCCATAAGTCCTTCCTTTGGTTTGGAGTGCCATCTGCACTCGCGCCCTATCATCCAGTGATGTTGTAAAGGCCAGCTGTTTTCAATCAAGCTTTAACTTAGCCCTTAGCCACTCCATAAATCCTTCCTTTGGTTTGGAGTGCCATCTGCACTCGCCCCCTATCGTCCGGTGATGCTGTAAAGGCCAGCTGTTTTCAATCAAGCTTTAACTTAGCCCTTAGCCACTCCATAAGTCCTTTCTTTGGTTTGGAGTGCCATCTGCACAAATCGTCCAGTGATGCTGTAAAGGCCAGCTGTTTTCAATCAAGCTTTAACTTAGCCTTCAGCCGCTCCATAAGTACTTCCATTGGTTTGGAGTGCCATCTGCACTCGCCCCCTATCATCCAGTGAAGCTGTAAAGGCCAGCTGTTTTCAATCAAGCTTTAACTTAGCCCTTAGCCGCTCCATAAGTCCTTCCTTTGGTTTGGAGTGCCATATGCACTCGCCCCCTATTATCCAGTGATGCTGTAAAGGCCAGCTGTTTTCAATCAAGCTTTAACTTAGCCCAGCCGCTCCATAAGTCCTTTCTTTGGTTTGGAGTGCCATCTGCACTCGGCCTCTATAGTCCGGTGATGCTGTAAAGGCCAGCTGTTTTCAATCAAGCTTTAACTTAGCCTTCAGCCGCTCCATAAGTACTTCCTTTGGTTTGGAGTGCCATCTGCACTCGCCCCCTATCATCCAGTGAAGCTGTAAAGGCCAGCTGTTTTCAATCAAGCTTTAACTTAGCCCTTAGCCGCTCCATAAGTCCTTCCTTTGGTTTTGGAGTGCCATCTGCACTCGCCCCCTATTATCCAGTGATGCTGTAAAGGCCAGCTGTTTTCAATATATAACTTAGCCCTCAGCCGCTCCATAAGTCCTTCCTTTGGTTTGGAGTGCCATCTGCACTCGCGCCCTATGGTCCGGTGAAGCTGTGAAGGCCAGCTGCCGTCAAGAGCATTAGAGTAGTCCGAAAAAAAATGTGTTATATCGCAGTTCGTATTAACTTAACAAAATATTAAATTTGTCGGAATCAGACAAAGAAAAAAAAATTAAAAATATAAAAATGTGCAACATATCTTAAAAAAAGGAACAAGCAATTTTTAGCACATTCTTATTAATTGAATAGGTTTTCCAAATAAGTGGTAATATAAAAAAAAAGAAAGATTAAAAAAAAGAATAAAATAAAAGATATTTCTATACTCACACTATTTTTTTTATTGTGGGTTTTGGGCTTTTGTCAGGTGTCAAGATTTTTAGTACTGCGACCTTCATAGATTCATTGTACTCGCCATTTTTCAAAATTCGCTATCTCTATATACCTATACCAGCTGACTCCGCAAACGTTGTTTTGCCATATAAATTAAAATCGCTATTAAAAATAGGGGTTATTGGTAGAAGACTGAAAATTTAGGGTTGTATGTCTTTTTCAATGCAAAATCATATAATAATATAAAAATAAAAATTACCAAATTATATAAAAAATGCGTGAGGTGGACAACCCTTATCACGTAGGGGTATGAAAAATAGATAGTAGCCGAGTCTCAGACCTACTGAATATGCATATAAAATTTCATAAAATCGGTCAAGTCGTTTCGGAGGAGTATGGTAACTAACATTGTGACACGATAATTTTATATATAACATAATATATGTGTTATATATGTTACTAGCTTTTGCCCGCGGCTTCTCTTACAAACATTTTACAAACGTTTCATACAAACTTTCATCCCCCATTTTATTCCCTTGGGGGTAGAATTAATCAAAATCCTTTCTTAGCGGATGCCTACGTCATAACATCTACCTGCATGCCAAAATTCAGGGCGATCCGTCCAGTGGTTTGGGCTGTGCGTTGATAGATCACTATGCCAGTCAGTCAGTCACCTTTGAGTTATATATATTTAGATACATTGAGATTAAAATGACAGATGTAAATGTTAAATTTACAAATAATGTACTATCTATAACGGAGTAGTAACAACCAGACCATAAACTACTACAACTAGTACCCATAACCAAGCTCTGCTTATCTTGGCACTAGATGGCGCTGTGTGAATTATCCTGGAACATTATTATTGTCAAAATTTCCAACAACATAGAATATCTATTCACTATATACACATTGAATCTGTATTTATGTTTATATAGTTAATGCCCTCGGTACGAGACTGGATGATAAACAAACAGCATTATTACTCCTATCATTTTAAGATATATAATAGTCAAAACACATTACAGTGCTTAAGATAAATAATCATCTATACATATAAATAAAATTGGAGTGCCTGTTTGTAATATTGAAATAACCGTTTTACTACATGCATATGAATATAAATACGGTACATACACCAAAATAACATTTTTTACAATATTTGTCTGTCTGTCTGTTTGTTCCGGCTAATCTCTGATATGGCTGGACCGATTTTGACGGGACTTTTTTTGGCAAGTAGCTGATGTAATAAGGAGTAACTTAGGCTGCTTTTATTTTAGAAATATAAAGTTAAATTCCACGCGGACGAAGTCGCGGAAACAGCTAACTACTTACAAAGAAAATATTCTGTCCTACTATCAGTGAGTTTTAAATTTCTTCTACAAGAACGTTATACATACACCGAACGACGTTATGATAATAATATATAATATATAACAATAAATAATACATTATGATACATATATATATATTTATTATTTACGTAGCTTTGCAAAACAGCTGTCATGTAGACCGAATTTCCTGCCATCTAATCACCCACTAGTAATCCAAACTGTTTTAGATATAGCGACATCTAGCGCCTACGTCGGCGAAATAAAATAGCCCGAGTTAGGAAGGCACCATTGTTCTGTGGGATGGGGTATCTGTGCGTAATAATATGTTATCTGTGGTTATATTATGGTCATCATCATCATCATCATCGGTCCACATCAATCCGCTTCAGTCCACTGGGCACGATCTTCAGCCCTTCTCTTCCAATTGCTACCCGCGACCCTACATATATCGTCGCTCCACCTAGCTCCGAGATATATTATGGTAAATAATTTTATTTATATTTTGTTTGTTTCAGATCACCTCACAATATGTTATTGAAGTGCCTGCTATTGTTAATCGGTGATTATCATATCTATATAACCCAATCAAATCAAATCAAAATCTTATTTCGTGTAGATCTAATATAGACTCTTATGATATATCAAATGTAGTGAAATATTTAATGAATATTTTTATTATTTAACTAGCTACTCGCCCGGCTTCGCACGGGCGTACATGTATTATATATAAAAACCTTCCTTTAGAATCACTCTATCTATTAAAAAAAAACACTTTAAAATCCGTTGCGTAGTTTTAAAGATTTAAGCATACATAGGGACAGACAGCGACAGCGTCTTTGTTTTATAGTATGTAATGATGATTATTTTAGAGACATAAAAAAAAATATTTTAATTAATCTGTGTATTTGTACTATCTCTAAACAGGTTGATTTGAAAAAAATACGAGCTGAGTTTCTTGTCAGTTCTCAGCTCGATGCACTTTGAACTAACGGTAGATTTGACATATCGTAAGACTGTGTAATAGACCTCCATGAATAAAGATATTTTGATTTGATTTGATATGAAAATTACAGGATAAAAAACATGACATCTTAGTGCTTCCGAATAAGCTGTATCACGTTATCACGTGATAGCTTTTAACCATTCCCCACAATCGTCATTTACACTTAACCGATAAATCCTATTTCAAAATCAAATTCAAATTCAAAAATGATGTAGGACAGTTTAGCCGCTTATGAACGTCAAATTTTTATAATTTTGCCCTACCGTCCAGTTCAGTATATAGATCCAATAGAGAAGAACTGGCAAGAAACTCAATTGAATTACTTTTTTTTAAAGCCAATTTATTTACAATGTATATTTATATAGGTGTCTATGTCTAACATTAAATGAAAATCCCGTGCATGAACAACTATTGCCATGCACGCTCGTCATTCAAGTAATCGTTCAGTGAGTAATAGGCTTTGCTTCACTTCAGGAGCCGTCTCCATCAAAGCCAGTTCTGCAGGTCTTCAGTTGCTGTTCCCTGAGCATAAGGAGTACATCTATGTGGTGAAGACCACAGTCTCCACTGGCGTGGCTGAGCGTGCCACCTACTGGACGCTGGATGGTAGGCTTACCGTCGCCGTCGCAAATAACTTTACCAGAGCTAGACTTCAGTTGGAGAACTTGAAGGTATATTGTACATCTATACATATAAATAAAATTGGAGTGTCTGTTTGTAATATTGAAATAACCGTTTTTTACTACATGTATATGAATGTCTGTTTGTTCCGGCTAATCTCTGAAATGGCTGGACCGATTTTGACGGGACTTTATTTGGCAGGTAGCTGATGTAATAAGGAGTAACTTAGGCTACTTCTATTTTAGAAAAATAAAGTTAAATTCCACGCGGACGAAGTCGCGGGTACAGCTAGTATTATAAATACGATTGTAATTCTGTCTGTCTGTCTGTCGCGCTTTAACCTCAAAAATACTCAACCGATTTAAATGAAATTCAGTACACAGATAGCCTAGACCCTGAGAAAGGATATGCAAAAATGATACTGTTAAGGGCGTATCATAATATAGGGGATGAAAGTTTTTTTTTAATATCGTCAATTTTGAACCAAGAATGATGAATCTTTTTCTTTAGTCTTTTTGGGTAAGATTATTAAATATTTTATCTTTATTTGATCTAGGTCACTATTCCATGCGCACGAAGTCGCGGGCACAGCTTTATATATATATTTCAAGATTTTTTAATGTTACCAGGCTTCGGCGTTCAGCAAGAATGAGCATACACCCGGACAGTCAAAAGAAGCGGAAAAATATTTGACTGAACCGTGGGAAATTGACTATAATGTGAGTATAATAGAATAGAATAGAATAGAATAGAATAGAATAGAATAGAATAGAGTAGAGTAGAGTAGAGTAGAGTAGAGTAGAGTTTAATCTAATTTTTAGTTGTAGTACATAATAGTTCCGAAAAGTGAACTAGATGTCGCTGTCTCAATTATGTATAATTTCTACATCGCGGTGGCAAGATATTTTTGCATTATGTCTTAAGTTATAGCACGTTTCATAATGTGAGCCTCCTCTGATCGATCCCCCGTCCAATTCAAACGGGGATCGAAATTACGATGGCCTGAGCCGAGGTTCGAACCCCTAGTGGTGCCCTCAGACTAAAGTCGTATCCGTCGGGCAGGAGTTGGCCTTCAGCCGCTCCATAAGTCCTTCCGCGGGTTTGGAGTGCCATCTGCACTCGCCCCCTAACGTCCGGTGAAGCTGTAAAGGCCAGCTGCGGCCAACAGCATTAGAGTAGTCCGAAAAACAATGTAATAAGAGAGAAAGAGAGAGGAGAATATTCTTACTACTGAATATACACAGTTCCGGTACTATCCTTGGGTTTCATTTACTAATAGGGTCTAAGATCTAGTACAGTTCAGGTCATTAGTACAGCACTAAATAAGTCGAGTCGAGTTTAATAGAATAGAATAGAAAATCCTTTAGTTATATTTTTCTTTCGTGTTATTTATTTATTTATATAACTTTAATGCACACAGTACAAAAGTAACAGTACATTTGGCGGACTTAACACCATGCGGTATTTTCTACCAGTCAACCATAGGCAGTACAGAGAAAAATTGTTGGCGGTGCAAAAATAATCATAACAAAAAAAAAAACAAGGCATAAAAAATGATATAATAATATTTATACTATTACATTTACAATAATACATAAATATAAAAATATATAAACAAAGAAGGAATATATAATATGATATACAAATACATACTCATACACAATACATACACAATTATATGAATACATACCAAACAATCTGACAGTTACACCACAGAGAATAAAAAGATAAATATAAGGTAAAGAGAAACGAGAGAAAAATAAAATAAATAAATAAAATAACAAAAAATTATATTAATAACTGGGTCGTAAGACGAATAATTGTATGGCAATTGATACCTTCATTTGCCATAAAATAATTCATGTTAAGATCCGGTTAAGAAAATAGAAAATCCTTTATTCAAATAAACTTAACTTAAGCACTTTTGAATAGTCATAGTTATCATTCTTTCAATCTACCGCTCATTCGGAAAGCTGTCTCATCACAAGAAGAACGAGCAAGAAACTTGTGTGTTGCTCTATTAAATAATCATTGTAACTTTACATTTCCGATTCGAAACGTGTGAATACAAACTACCAACTAGCACTAATTTATTAATGTTAGATATTAAGTACACAATAGGATTAAAGATTTTCAAAGCGTTTGTGGCCCTGGTCCCCACTGACTTACTGCCCACCTTCATGAAAGAGGACTACTGGCCGAAAGGTGTGGTGTATCGGCGCTACCGTGGCAGATTGCCGTCTTCAGTGCCGTGATCACACAGACAATATAGTTGTATTGGTTTTTAAATATTATATTATATGTATGTTAGTCTATAAGGTATTTATAATATGGGCCTAGTTGCCTGAAATAAATGAATAAATAAATAAATAAAATCAGTCGTAGTGATTAGAGCAGACCAGTTCCTACAAGCAGCTCGTTCACGAGTATACTCTACGTGTTCCAGGATAACGATTTAGTGGAATCACTTTACGTGGGGTCAGAACCAGTTTGGACCACAAACGTCAAGAGGGCACTATCATTGAATTTCCAGTTGAGCAAGAAATCTGGAACCTATGTGGTTGATGAGGTAAATATTTATTCTTATTTATAATCTTTACTAACTGTACTCTCTTTGTCCGAGTGGCATTTTATTTTCTAAAATAAAAGTAGCCTAAATTACTCCTTATTACATCGGCTACCTGCCAAAAAAAGTCCCGTCAAAATCCGTCCAGCCATTACAGAGATTAGCCGGAACAAACAGACAGACGAAAATTGTAAAAATATGTTATTTTCGTGTATGTACCGTATTTATATTCATATGCATGTAGTAAAAAACGGTTGTTTCAATATTACAAACAGACACTCCAATTGAATTTATATGTATAGACTTGCTAAGCTGTGCAACCCAGCCCGTCCCGTTGTCTGTCTGTCGGTCTGTAATCAAATCTTGCAAGTTAAATTTGATCCACTTCAATCCGAGATAGCAAGAGGAAAAAGGTGCTAAATATTCTTAATTATACCATCAAAATATAACACGCTTTTATTTATAAAGTTGGGAATGTGATAAAAACGGAAAGATTCAATAATAAAGATGTAAAGTTTTATTAATAACTAGCTGTACCTGCGACTTCGTCCGCGTGGAATTTAACTTGATTTTTCTGATATAAATGTATTCTAAGTTACTACTTATTATATTAGCTACCTGCCAAAAAATGTCCCGTCAAAATCTGTCCAGCTATTTCAGAGATTAGCTAGAACAAACAGACAGACAGACAGACAAAAATTGTAAAAAATGTTATTTTGGTGTATGTACCGTATTTATATTCATATGCGTGTAGTAAAAAACGGTTATTTCAATATTACAAATAGACACTCCAATTTTATTTATATGCATCGATATACAATTACTACGTCTGGTCTTACTTGACATATATAATTATATATCGCCGAATTTACATAATATCTTTTAAAATTATCGTCTATATGTTATTCTGATGTATAAGTTATATTACTGTAAAGTATCATCAAAATCCGTTCAGTAAGTTTTGCGTGAAAGTGTAACAAACATCCATACATACTCACAAACTTTCTTATAATATTATATATATATTTGTTATAATATTAGTAAGTATTTGGTACAATCTTGTACCAAATGTAGAAAATAATTAAAACAGAATGAGGTCTTATCGCTCAGCTTACTTTAATGATGATGATTTAAGACTTTTGTAATAGACTTTATGGAACCCTTTTTTTTCTATACGATCGTAAATGTAACTCAGGAAAACTCACATAGAGCTTTCTAGTCCCAAGCTAAGCATTTTGTGTTATGGGTACTAGACAATTGATAGAAACATTTAAATATTTTTTAGACTCATGAGGGTCAAGACTTAGGAGCGATGGCTTTTATCTCCTCAAGATAGAGTATATACTTTCCAAAGGAGATATTTCGTTTATCCATGAGTGAACTACAACCACAATAAAATCAATAACTGTAGTGTAGTTATTAAATGTATTCCCAGCCCTGTCTCCATCACAGCTGCACTACCATCTACACAGTCAGCGGGAACATAGTGAAGAAATACACGAATCAGAAGATTACGTCTTCTGAAACTGAATTCTTATGGAGCTCTGTACCAACTATCACTCAATTCGCAGGAAGAAATTATGTAAGTACTGAAATTAGCTAAAAGAGGAGCTATCTCCCGCGTTCACTTATGATGCCTAAATTCCCAAATTTGGGTGTATTTGTGAGTCTGCCTGTGTGACCCAAATGAGGATCCTCCCGCGTACACTTATGATGCCTAAATCCCCAAATCTGCTGTGACCCCCAATCTAGATGCTATGATGTGTAAATGATAAGTCCGGGCTGCTTTCCAACTTGATATATTGAGTACACGATGATTGAGTGTGGACTGATGCTTGCTTGTGAGTATTTGGTGTACTGAAGGGGAAATGGTATGTGTGGGCGTTATATAGACGTGGAGCGGTGTAAAATGCTGACGGCTGACGGTGACGCACCGTATATTGGGAAATTTGGGGAAAATCTCTGAGGAAAGTCTGGAAATTTTGTCGTCTTGGACGTTTATTTGGCTTCTAAATTTCCAGACTTTTATCAAAGTATTCATCATCATCATCAACTGCTTCTTCCTTATCCCATTTATTTGTGGTCGTGATAATATATTTTTCTCTTCGATTCATCTCTATTCGCAGTCATCTCGTATATCATAGTCTTGTTAAAGTTGAAAGGTCGTCAAAATGAAACTTCTTTTGTGTTCAAGGGTTTATTTTTCTGAACACTCGTTACTCATTAAAGAAAAATATGTGGGTTTATAACTACCTGCCAAGGTTTTATCACGAGATTGGGGTTTTTTAAGAAACTCTTCTTGAAACCAGTCAACCGTTGCGTTAATCTCAGATCGTACAGCCATCGATAGGGAAATCCTATCCACTCGCCCACCACCTAAGTGCTCTCGGACAGTGTGATTTCAGAGGAGCTTCCTCCCGCATACACTTAGATTGTGGAATGAACTACCGCCGAGGTTTCTCTCGAGACTACAGCAGGTTTTTCAAGATGGGTATATTAAGGTTTCTTAAGGGTTGGCAACGCGCACGTGACACCTCTGGTGCCTCAGGCTACTACGGTAACCCTTTGGTAACCGTAGTCTATGGACGCCTGAGACGCCGGTAACCTTCAGATGGGCCGTATGCTTTTTTGCACATCATAGTGTAAAAAAAGATATTTTTGATACCACAACTGGGTTGGTAAATGGTTAAGGTTAATAAAAAGGCGGATGCACAGTAAATGATATAATTTTAATAATACTGAGATTTAATATTGAGAACCTCCACGGTCGGCAAAATTACGAAGATGGAGTAATGATGTATGTATTTTTGCATCATTATCACAGCCAGAGTCAATGTCATCAGCAGAGAGGGTCTATGAAGTGGATGATACTAGAGGACTCATCAGTTTGGACTTGAAGGGGAGTCTGCAGTACAAGCTGAACAACCACATCCTAAATGTTATTTCTGAGTAAGTATAAACCCCACACGAGGGAACCTAAGTGGTCTCGGACAGTGCAGTTTTCCCGGTCTTGGACAGTGCAGTTTCAGAGAGACTTTTTTTTTATGGATGACAATGGAATCCTCCCTACGCTAACGGTTTACGTAGGCTTACAAATTCACCAAGATTTATCACGATAGAATGAACTGACATGGTACACTGCTAGCAATAAGATCATCAATCCACATTACTAACAATCCCCTTTCCCCCCTCTCGAGAAACTACAGTGTGGGGTTTTTCAAGAAGGGTATTTTATGGGTTGGTAACGTGCACGTGACACCCCTGGTGTTTCAGGCGTCCATAGGCTAAGGTAACCATTTACCACCAGGTGGGCCGTATGCTTGTTGCCACCATCGTAGTTTGAATTTTACAACTTTGCATTCTTGCTCAATTATAAAAGTTAGTATTTTAGAAATTTCTAAATTACCAAGATTACTGACTATCCAGGTTGACTGTAAGATGGCTTTAAGCGAAATGGCCGCCTTTAGTTTAGCACATTTATGTAAAGATTTCTTTTATCACAATAAAGAATAATATTATTAGACTAGCTGTACCCGCGACTTCGTCCGCGTGGAATTTAACTTTATTTTTCTAAAATAAAAGAAATCTAAGTTACTCCTTATTACATTAGCTACCTGTTTGTAATATTGAAATAACCGTATTTTTATTCATATGCATGTAGTAATCATGCACCTTTTTAAAATTTCTGTCTGTCTGTCTGTTTGTTTCGACTAATCTCTGAAATGGCGGGACCGACAGGATTTTTTTGACAGGTAGCAGATGTAATAGAAGTAACTTAGACTACTTTTATTTTAGAAAAATGAGATAAATTCCACGCGGACGAAGTCGCATGTACAGCTAGTATATAAATAAAATAAATATCTTTTCAGACTTTCACTGTACTATGAAACATACAGACCAATACAGGATACGAAAGAGTTATCATTAAACAAAACATCAATAATATATGAAAAAAGCGATTTTAGCCACCCGTCCAACGGAATTAGGGATGTAAAAAAAAGTCAATTGAAGAATGAAACTTTAGAGGTAATAGTTTTACTTTCCTTTCATCCTTCATTTTTTCTTCAAAGGTATATAAAAGGTAAAGATATCATGAGTTAATGGTAATCGTCCCCTTGAACAGCACTACAGACATCACGTTATCATGTGACGACCGTGATACCACTCCTGCGTTGTCATTCCAGAGTACTAACATGTCACGCCTCTTATCCTGTAATTTCACTGTCTAATCTGCACCCTACAACCGAAACATCTTACAAAGCAAGCTGCTCGGCTGAAATAGGTGAGACTGAGGTGCACACGCGGACGTGTTTGTACACTTTACCTCTGGTAAAAGAATAATATATCATTACATAGTATAAAACAAAGTCGCTGTCGCTGTCTGTCTCTATTTATGCTTAAATCTTTAAAACTACGCAACGGATTTTGATGCGGTTTTTTTAATAATAGAGTGATTCAAGAGGAAGGTTTTCAAATTCAAAATATCTTTATTCGTGTAGGTCTATTACAGACTCTTATGATGAAACGAAATGATATTTATTCAGTAGAAGAAAAAACTAAAACACACATTAAGCAAACAAAAAAAAGAATAACAAACAGTGCTACAATTACAAAATGATATGTCAAATCTACTGTCAGTTCGGAATTATTTCGAGATGAGAAGAACTGACAAGAAACTCAGCTCGTATTCTTTTTAAATAATATCGTACATGTTTACAATAATACAGATTCATTTAAATTCCAATTTGGGAGAATAGAGTGACCACCAGCATATGCTATTGCAAGAAACAAAAAATCTCAGTCTATATTACGAACACTGATTATATATATATATATATATATATAATATGAATAATATGAATACTCTACATTTTTCAGATTCTACTCAAAATTGCAACAAAAGGTATAGATACGGACAATGTGGTCAGGAATGCGTCTCTCATACATAATTTGGATCTATACAATCTTTTAAAGTATGTATAAGAGAATTCTTCATTCATATAAACTTACATTTAAGCATTTTTGAATAGTCATTACTTATCTAAATATATATAACTCAAAGGTGACTGACATAGTGATCAACGCACAGCCCAAACCACTGGATGGATCGGGCTGAAATTTGTCATGCAGGTAGATGTTATGACGTAGGCATCCGCTAAGAAAGAATTTTGATTAACTGACGTCTTGTCGGTGGAGGCATCCACTTCCATCATGCTCTTTAATTCTTGATAACACGGTCCTCATTTGTTTGATTAATTCTCCCTCCCCCTCTTTCCTTCTATTTTCCCCTCAAGGGGATAAAATAGGGGATGAAACTTGGTTGGAACTTTGTCAATTTTAAACCGATCGGGCTGAGACTTTGCATGCATAAAGCTACTATGATGTAGGCATCCCCTAAGAAAGGATTTTGATAAATTCCACCCCTTTGGGGATAAAATAGGCGATGAATGATAATGAATTTGTATAAATCTTCTTAGATTTTGTAGGCCCTAATTTTTTATACACGCTAAACAAAAGTAAAGCTCCAAAAACTACACCTAATTAATAATAATACTTACTATTACGCGAGCGAAGCCACGAGCAAAAGCTAGTTAGTATATAAATAAATAAAAAAAAGTAACTTTCAATTTTAATTAATATTATTGACATATACAGGGACCTACCTAAGGGCTTTTTGGGCTGCAGCCCAGGGCCCGGAGGATGCAAAGGTCCCCAATCCCCATTGAAACGATATTTAGAATATAAAAAAAATATCTAGAATGTTAAAAACCTATCATAAGGTTGGCAACCCTGAGATCAATAACCCTGAGATCAATCAACCCGTACAAGTGTGCGTCTATCGAAAGGGACGAGAAATTTCTGGTCGCTTGTTTTTGGTCGATATATTTATTTAGTTGAGTAATATAATTAGGTAGGTTCCTAAGTAGATTTAGCCCAGGGCCCCACAAATTCACGGTCCGCCCCTGGACATATGTAATAGTAGTAATAGTAGCGATATAGTCTTGTAACTCAAAGCATGCTGTGGTAGAGATGTATCAACTCGAGTTAACTCGAGTTGAATTCTGCCAAATCGAGTTTGAAGAATTCAACTGGTAAATGAATGAATCAAGTGAAAGAGCGAGAGCATCATTCTATCATCGAACCGACAATGACATGAAATTTTTCGATCATTTCATATCATACAATTTTCACTAGTCACAAATATTTCAATATTGATTTGAGGTCGTTATTATTTTTTGTCGCATATTCTCCCGATCATGTTATCATTAAAATGATTATGAGTTCCTTGAGTTCTTCCGCGGCTATAAAGTGCCATTTCTACTCGCCACCTATAGTTCGATGAAGCTTTTAAGGCTAGATGGGCCCTAAAACATTAGTATTGTTCGAAAAATTAAAAAAAAAATATTCCAAGTAACTCGAGTCAACTCGAGTTAACTCGAGTCATGTTTATTACGAGTTAGCACATCTCTATGCTATGGTTAACTATAAGTATGAGAACAGTTAGTGTAAGACCATTAGAATTGTACAGAATCACGACAGATTTTGATTGCTGTATCTCATGTTGGTAATCCTTAAAAATAAATAAATAATTACAAGACATAATAATAATAATAATCTCAGGACAATTCACACAGCGCCATCTAGACCCAAGTTAAGCTAGCTAAAGCTTGTGTTATGGTTACTAGATAACAAACATACATATACATAGTTTTTTTTTTGTAAATACATATTATACATAGAATATACCCAGACCGATACAAACAATCATACTCATGAATACAAAAGTATGTGCCGTGCGAGGAATCGAACCCGCGACGTAAAGCGGTGTGCTAGACCGCTAGACCACCGAGGTCGTCATATGTCCAGTATTACTGTAAATTATAATTTTTTTCTCACTATTCTCAATTTCAGCACTATAGCCCAATTGGATTACGAGCATTTAGTACTTCTGTTCGATGATCTGATACTAGGCACCAGTTATGAGCTAGAGACGGCCAGGAATATCTTTCTGGAGATGCTACCCCACGCCAAATCTAATGATTGTGCGAGATTCATCAAATATCTGGTCACGGAGATGAAGGTAAGCATAACAAAGAAACTAGTTTCCGATGTTTCCTCAGGAGACTACAGTATGGTATTTTTCAAGAAGGGTATATTAAGATTTCTTTAGGATGAGCAACGCGCACCTGATTTTCATAGACTACGGTAACCACCCACCATCAAAAACCACCATTGCCACCAAAAAAAGTGCAAAAGATAAAATAAATAAATTATTTATTTCGACAGGAGAAAATAGAAGATACAGCAATATTATCACTTATAAGGAAACTGCCATTCAATGTGGCAATTTACAACCAAGCGCTGCTCGAAGAGTTGGAGGTGTTCACCAAGTTGGGGCTGGACTTTAGCGTCGAGATCCGGAGAGCGGGGATCCTAAGCTTCGGTATTCTGGTACACAAAACCAGAGCGGCCTGGAGTGTCACCCAGGATTACATGGATTACATCGTGGTCAAATATTTCAGGATGTACAGTGGTAAGTTTCTTTCTATAATAACTTGACTGGTAAAAAGGCAAATTGAATACTGAAGGAAATAGACGAAGAAAATGTTAGAACACTTGATACGATGCTGTGAATTTATAAAATATATTGATGGTAATATAGAAGCAAAGAGGGGGAGGAGAATACCAAGACACAGCTACGTCAACATTTAAAGAGGATGATGGAAGATCGTGGAAAGTGGTAAGAACTTCACTGATGAGAGCGTGGCTATTAAATTATAAATGAATGAATAACTGGACTTGTAAGAAAACTGATGGCCCATCGTTTATTTATAATAATAATAATTAATATAATATAACAATTTACACAGCGCCGATAGACAGATAGATAATCTATACAGATATTTTGAATTTGAATTTCAATTTTGAATGTGCCTTATAAATCTAAATAGCTTACAAAGTAAACTGCTCTTCACTGAATTAAGTAATGATTACCACTTACCATCATGTTGGCCGGTAGGTTGTTACCTAAAAAAAGAACAAAATTCTTTAATATCAATTAACTGTGAACGTAAATTTAATGCACCTATGATTTCTTTCGAGTTAATTGTTTCGCATTCGGAACTTGATACAAGATGAGACCCTGCAACCTGACACGCTGCACTCACCGTAGAATATATTCGGGTGAAGTAGAAACTTATTTAATCAAACTAAGTGTTATTTTCTTGACGATCTCGGTGGTATAGTGGTTAGCACACCGCTTTACTATCTGATGGTCATGGGTTCGATTCCTCGCACGACACAAATATTTGTATTCATGAGTATGATTGTTTGTATCTGTCTGCGTGTTTTCTATGTAGGTATAATAAGTATATATTTACGAAAAAAAAATAGCTTTAGCTAGCTTAACTTGGGTCTAGATGGCGCTGTGTAAATTGGACTGAGATTATTATTATTTTGCGGAAGTCCATTTCATTGCTAAATGGAATTATATTATTTCGTTTTATTCCACTACTAGTATTTGCATGTCCAAGACCACAAACCAGGGCCCTCACAGGACACAGCAAATTAAACAAGCATATGGCTAAACTAGGCCTATGCACGACAAGAATCTGCAGATTCTGCCAAACGGAAGAGGAAACGCCACTACACATCCTATGTGGTTGTAACCCACTTATGCTTAAACGAAATATCTCCTTTGGAAAGTTTACACTCTTTCCCGAGGAGATAAAAACCATCGCTCCTAAGAATATCCTTCAATTCTTGTCCCTGACGGGTCTAGGTAGCGGACTTTGAAAAGGGCAAGCACAATAGATCTATGTAGGTCGCAGTGCTACAGGTGCTACAAACATCTGACAATAGCCCAAACAACACTATAAAAAATTAAGATCACAAATATTAAGAATACTTCCGGATGAAGTAGAAACATTTTTTCCAACTAAGCGTTACTTTGCGGAAGTTCATTTCATTACTTAATGGAATTAGATTAGTTTGGTTTATTCTGTTACTAGTATTTGCATGTCCGAGATCATAAATATTAGGGATACTTCCGGATGAGGTAGAAACATATTATTATTTTATCGATCAAGTATTATTTTGCGGAAGTTCATTTAATTGCTGAATGGAATTGTATTATTTAGTTTTATTCCAAGTTTTATTCCAAGACGATAAATATTAAGAATACTTCCGGATGAAGTAGTATTATTAATTGTGTTATTTTGCTGTTCATTTCATTAGTAATGGATTGCTGTTATTATTTGCATGTGAGAGACCATATTATTATATGTGGGAAAACTTGACTACCGTTCCTGGAAGCATTATAACCTTCTCTTTAAGTGATCAAATTTCAACCGTTATTGGATCTACACCGGTTTTGCGACACGTGTTTCGCCTCTGAACAGGGCATTATCAGGTAGTGAATAGAGTTCAGATATAGCTTGGAACTGTAGTTCTTTAGTGTTGAGTGTTCGGCAATATAGTCTGGTCGCTGAATAGTCAACTGAATTAATCAAAATAATTCCAAAAGTAATGAAGTCATTACATTCCCTAATATTTATGTACTTATAAAAATTTAGTACAAAATGAACATAAGAGTTATTTTCTTATGGCATAGGGACAAACGAGCCTACGGCTCACCTGATGGTAAGTGATTACCGCCGCAAATGAGCAACCGCCACACCAGGTGAATTGCAAGTACATTGCCAGTTTTAAGAAAGAATAAGCTCTTTTCTTAAAGGTTATCGGTTCGGAAATACCATTGCAAGAAGGCGATTCTATAATGTGGTTGTGCGTAGCAAAAAGTTTCGGGAAAAACGCCAGGTTCCAGGAGGATCGTCCTTCATCCAGATGATCAGGATGGTATTTTAGTTTATGACGGGTAGTGTGTTGGTGAAATTCAGCAATTAGTATTAATCCGAAAAACTCAGAACAGTCTCCGTTAAATTTTATTTACCTTCCTCAGATTGTCCTCAGTACTTTGACAGACTGATCTGGCTCCAGGGTTTATGCAACATTGGATTCTCTGCTTTGGAATACACAAATGTAATATTCGGTGACACAACAAAACATAAGTATGAGAGGCTGTGGGCAGCGTTTGGGAGCAGCAATTCCATACCAGAAGAACCATATGAGGTAAGGATGTTGGGATCTACAGGGGTTGAGACTTAAGTAAGAAAAGTTACTGAGAATAAAGTGGATATTTGAAAAGCTTTTTTACGATCATAAACGGCTCAGTGGTCTAGCGATTTAGCACGCCGTCTTACTTCATCGCGAGTTCGATTCCTCGCGAGGTACAATCTGTATTCATAAGTAAGATTATTTTTATCTGGATGGTCTGCATGGAATTAAGGCAGTGTGATAAACAGGTAGACTACCAATGTCGTGAATAAAGATTATTGCTATTCTACAAACTGCAGACTCTAAAAACAGTGTTACTAATTTTTTTAAATCAATACCAACACCGATATGAATTTGCAGCTTAGAGTTCTTGCACTTCATTTGTTATTGAGCTCTACAACTATAAGAGAGAAATAGTGGAGAGAGAGGATGGCGGCCTTTGCAAAAGTTAATACATAATATACTGTAACGCATATAATTTTCCCATGCTCCTCACTCCACTGTTTATAACAAACTGAAGTTCAATTTCATTCTATGTTATTCTTCTATTTTCAGATTCTAAAAACAGCGTTACCGATAATAACGAACGATACAGAGCCCGTACAGCTCAGGATAGTTGCACTCCATTTGTTGCTGAGCTCTACAACAATAAGAGAGAGTGACTTCTTATTCCTACATAACTATATAAAGAATTCAACTGATAACAGATTGAAGAGTTTCTGGTATTCGAGCGTGATAAATATGAACAAAAATAAGTCCTTCGGAGGCTACAGAGTCGCGTGAGTGACGATTTTTTTATGTAATTGCCATGACTAAGAAGCTGACGATCTTTGAATTGATTGTATGCCTCGATGGTCTAGCGGTTACTTCCGATGGTCGCGGGTTCGATTCCTTACATGCCACAAACATTTGTATACATGATTATGATTGTTTGTATCGGTCTGGGTGTTATTAATGCATGTATTTACAAAAAATAAATATCTATGCATCTAGTACCCATAACACAATCTTTAGCTAGCTTAACTTGTGTCAAGATGGCGCTGTGTGAATTATCCTGAGATTATTATTATATATTTCCTACTTTAGGTATGTAGTTTTTAATGTTTTTTGTGTAGTAATACAAAATAAATAATTATAATAATTAAATACATATTATAAAAAAATGTTACCCAACTTATTTTTTTTTATCTTATATTTAGGCTTTGCGGCTAAGGCAATTTGTTCACTAGGTAATGGAGTGATTAGTTTTAGGGTACAATGGGACTGGCATGTACTTAGATGGTACAAAAGTCCCTAAAATTAAAAAGAAAAAAAAAATCTCTTATTTATTTATTTTTTTAAAATAATTTATAATATAATTTTTTATTATATAATTTTTTTTCGTAAAACGTTTTTAACGTTGTTAACATATTTTTTGTTATATCATTTATATATACTGATATTTAATACAGTTCGTACTACGTGCCGTACGTCATAAAACAAGTGCCAGAGCCCGACTCCGTCTACTGGGCGACACAGAACATGATTCTGAGCGATGAGAGTGGTGCAGCCCTGCAGTTCCTCTCGATCGGAGACGACACCATGGTGCCAGGGTTTGTTGGTGCGAAGGTCTCCACTGGTGGTGTCAGGTCGTATCAGGCTGCTGTAAGTATTGTATAGATAGATGAATAATAATAATAATTCTGAGCAATTCACATCCATCAATCAGTCAATTCACATCCATCAATCAGTCAATTCACATTCATCCATCAGGCAGTCTTGTGTTGAATACTAAACAATTCAAAGAAACACTGAAACGGACGTCCAAGCTGTTTATATTCATGAGTAGTCTTATTGTAGCGGTTTAGATGATCGCGGGTTCGATTCTCGCAACAAGCACTTGTATTCATAAGTATGACATGAGTATCGGTCTGGTTGTTTTCTATTTACAATATGTACGTATTTACAAAAAAATCTATGTATTTGTATCAGTTGTCTAGTTCCCAAACATAAGCTGTGCTTAGCTCTAGAAATAGATGGCGCTGTGTATATATATATATATATTCATGAGATGATTGTTTGTATCTTATGTTTTCTATGTGTAATATGTATGTACTTTTATCTATGTATTTGTATCAGTTATTAGTACCCATAACATAAGCTTTAGCTTAACTTGGGTCTAGATTGCGCTGTGTGAATTGTCCTGAGATTATTATTATTATTATACGATATTGAGACCTTCAAGAAAAGAGCTTATTCCTTTTTAAAAGGCCGACAACGTACTTGCAATTCACCTGGTGTTGCGGGTGCTCATGGGCGGCGGTAATCACTTACCATCAGGTGAGCCGCAGGCTCGAGTACCCATAACACAAGCTTTAGCTAGCTTAACTTGAGTCTAGATGGCGCTGTGTGAATTGTCCTGAGATTATTATTATTAATATCGAAAACCGGTGAAATTACATCAACACTTTACAAGAAGTGTGTGGAAAAATAGCGTCGACTAAATAGAAAAATGACGTTTTTCAAAATTAGAAACTAGAATTGTCTCCTTTTATATAAGTCAATTAAATTAACCACGCCGTCTTAATCATTATCTAAACTTTTAAACTATAACTTTTAAAATTATATATAATACTTCGGTTTAAATTTAAAACGTTAAAGGAGAAATAATTTAAATAAATTAAAAAAGAAACTACTATTTGTCTTAATCTATTACATTTCTTCCTTTCTGGTTTGTGTATATGTATGTATGTGTTTTATTTTATTTTATTTATAATTTTATTAAATCCGTAAGTAGTTATATTCTTAGTATTACTACTACATTAATTTATATATGTTTGCTTATTTTTGTGGATCTATATATTTAATTGTGACGCGTATTACTTATTGTACCTATTTCAACCACTCCACAAAAAAAAAACTAAATTAAAACTGTATATAACAATAAAAAAAAAAAAAAGGATACATACCGGCAATCACGAAAAATGTATTAATTCATAATCACACAAAAACAAAAGAAAATAAAAAAAAAGAAAACAAAAAAAAACAAATATATATATATATATATATATAAAAAAAATTTAAAAAAAATTGCTAATTTCATCAGTGTAAATAATCCATCTCCTAATATATAATCATCTAAAAAATAAAAAACATCGCAAATCCAATCACTCGTCTTAAAATGAAACACTTCACATTCTCCGCTAATGCGAGCGTACCCGAAACGCAGAAGCTAAGAGTTAAAAAAAAATATGCCAATCAATAAAAAAAAAAACACTCCACAGTTCCTCTCAGTAACTCAAAGGTTTTTTTTTGGGATAAGTCCGCCATTGTACTCATTTTTTTTTAAGTCAATTGTGAACTTTTGTTTATAGTCCGCGTGGAATTTAACTTTATTTTTCTAAAGTAAAAGTAGCCTAAGTTACTCATTATATCAGCTACCTGACAAAAATGTCCCGTCAAAATAGGTCCAGCCGTTTTAGAGATTAGCCGGAATAAACAGACCGACAGACAGACAGACAAAAATTATAAAAAATGTTATTTTAGTATATGTACCGTATCTATATTCATATGCATGTAGTAAAAAACGGTTATTTCAATATTACAAACAGACACTCCAATTTTATTTATATGTACAGATATTATTGTACAATAAAGTATTACAAACAAACAAACATTTTGAACACAGCCATTTTTCTATTTAACCGACTATATATTATTTGTTCTTTTATGTATTTTGGTAATATAAAATCTAGTGTTGACTTTACAATAATATTTCTAGATATACGCAATAGCTCAGGGTGTATCAACAAATATATATAAGAGATTCAAGTACTTTAACGTTGAGAACATGATGATGGAACTCCTCAAACTGAAGCTTCAGGACCTGAACGCGTGGGTGCAAAAACTACCTGAAGATGTGAGTGATTTTTTTTTAAACTCGCTACTCACCACGCTTTGCACGGGTGTACATGTATTATATATATAAACCTTCCTCTTGAATCACTCTATCTATTAAATAGAAATAGAAATAATCTTTATTCAAACAAACTTAATATAAGCACTTTTGAATAGTCAAGTTTTTTTATGCTACCGCTTATTTGGAATGCAGATTCATCACAAGAAGAATAAGGAAGAAACTTGTGTGTTGCAATAAACCTTCCTCTTGAATCAATCTATCTATTAAATAGAAATAGAAATAATCTTTATCCAAACAAACTTAATATAAGCTCTTTTGAATAGTCAAGTTTTTTTATTCTACCACTTATTCGGAATGCAGATTCATCACAAGAAGAATAAGGAAGAAACTTGTGTGTTGCTCTCAAAGAAAAATATGACTACCAATAATTATAAATAATTTTCAGGTTCACATTGATGTAGTGGTTAAAATTCAAGATATGACGGTTTACGCGGCGCATATAAACTCTACGCAGTTCGATGCCTGGAGCGGCCTTGACAGTGAGTAACTTCACGACTCACTATTTGCGGTGTGGACAGAGAATATTGACTGAGGGAAATATTATTTTCTTACTAGCTGACCCCGAAAATGTTGTTTTGCCATATAACTTCGACGACCTTGCTGATCTAGCTGTCGACTACACCGCTTTACGACCGATGGTCGCGGGTTCGATTCCTCGCACGGCACAAACAATTGTATTCATGAGTATGATTGTTTGTATCGGTCTGGGTGTTTTCTATGTATAATATGTATGGATTAAAAAAAAATCTATGTATAAGTATCAGTTATCTAGTACCTATAACACAAGCTTTAGCTAGCTTACTTGGGTCTAGATGACCGTGCCAGTAAATTGATTATATCACGTGTCCCTCCCCCTCGTGAATCAGATCTTCGATTTGGACGTATGGTTGGACTTTAGGGCACTTATTATTATTATTATTATAAAAAAAAATTATATCGTTATTAAAAAATGGGGGTTGGTGATATAAGGGTGAACATTCAGGATTGTATGTATTTTTATGGCACATTATAAAGAAATAAGAAAAAAAAATTGTTCTAAAAATAAATATTAGGGGTGAACAACCCTTATCACTTAGGAGTATGGAAAATAGATAGTAGCCGGTTATTTTGTCCAAAAAATAAAAAATAAATATTGGGGGTAGACAACCCTATCACTTAGGAGTATGAAAAATAGATAGTAGTCGGTTCTCAGACCTACTGAATATGCATATAAAATTTAATAAAAATCAGTCTAGCCGTTTCGGAGGAGTATGGTAACTAACACTGTGACACGAGAATTTTATATAAATGATAATGCTGTATTACACCAATATTAAAATATAATAAATAGATATAATAGAAAAAAATACATTTTTTTTTATATGTTCTACGATGGTGGCAAGCAAGCATACGGCCCATGTGATGGTAAACGGTTACCGTAGCCTATAGACGCTTGAGACACCAGGGGTATCACGTGCGCATTGCCAACTCTTAAGAAACCTTTATACCTTATAAAGGTTTCCTTTATAAGGTATAAAGGTTTCTTAAGAGTTCTTAAGAGTTCCTGAAAAACCCCATGCTGTAGTCTCGTGAGAAAACCTCCGCAGGAAGTTCATTGCATAATGTAAGTGTACTCGGGAGGAAGCTCAGTCCGAGAAAACTTAGTTTCCAGCGTGTATTTTTTTTTTTTATATTTATTGCATTGTTTGGGCTATTGTCAGATGTGTAGCACCTGTAGCACTGCGACCTACATAGATCTATTGTGCTCGCCCTTTTCAGAGTTCCCTACCTAGACCCGTCAGGGACAAGAATTGAGGGATATTCTTAGGAGCGATCGTTTTTATCTCCTCGGGAAAGAGTGTAAACTTTCTAAAGGAGATATTTCGTTTATGCATGAGTGGGCTCCAGCGTGTATGGATGAATTCCCTATCAATTCATACGTATTTACATGTTTTCTGTTCGTTTTTCAGTAATAATTTCAGCGATCGAATTCCTCCGACTGGGCAGTCATATCAACCAACAGATAATATATTTACCTGCACAGATGGAAGTTCACCTGCCCAGTGTATTAGGTAAGTATATTTGTACTGTTAAAACTTGAGAGGTAGACTGTATATAGTCATTTACGTGGAAAATAAGGGTACATTTTTTTTCAAAACTTGAGAGGTAGACTGTACATCTGTGTCTGTATGTCTGCGTGGAAAATAAGGGTACAATTTTTTTCAAAACTTGAGAGGTAGACTGTACAGCTGCGTCTGTATGTCTGCGTGGAAAATAAGGGTACAATTTTTTTCAAAACTTGAGAGGTAGACTGTACATCTGTGTCTGTATGTCTGCGTGGAAAATAAGGGTACAATTTTTTTCAAAACTTGAGAGGTAGACTGTACAGCTGCGTCTGTATGTCTGCTTGGAAAATAAGGGTATAATTTTTTTCAAAACTTGAGAGGTAGACTGTACATCTGTGTCTGTATGTCTGCGTGGAAAATAAGGGTACAATTTTTTTCAAAACTTGAGAGGTAGACTGTACATCTGTGTCTGTATGTCTGCGTGGAAAATAAGGGTACAATTTTTTTCAAAACTTGAGAGGTAGACTGTACATCTGCGTCTGTATGTCTGCGTATAAGGGTACAATTTTTTTCAAAACTTGAGAGGTAGACTGTACATCTGCGTCTGTATGTCTGCGTATAAGGGTACTATTTTTTTTATTATTTTTTGTGAATGGAATGGTACACCCGCCTGCGCTAACGGTTTATTCGGGTGGGGCACCAGTGGAGGATGATAAAATGAGTACGAAGTCAGTGCAGTTACCACATTATGACAAACTCATAAAAAATGTATCACGATGGTTTCGATTTATTATTATTATTAACTACCTGCACGCGCGCCTTCGTCCGCGTGGATTTTAACTTTATTTCTCTAAAAGAAAAGTAGCCTAAGTTACTCCTTATTACAGCAGCTACCTGCCAATAAAAGTCCCGTCAAAATTGGTCCAGCCGTTTCAGAGATTAGCCGGAATAATCAGACAGTCAGACAGACAGGCAAAAAAATCTAAAAGTGGTTTTTTGGTGTGTGTACCGTATTTATATTCATATGCATGTTGTAAAAAACGGTTGTTTCAATATTACAAACAGACACTCCAATTTTATTTATATGTATAGATTAATAATCCTCCAGAAGTAATAGAGACTACTGTGCCTATATAAAAAAACTATGGTAATAATATATACTATTTGATAGAGTCATTACTATACGCCCTCGGTGGTCTAGCAGTTCACCATCTTACTTCCAATGGTCGCGGGTTCGATTCCTCGCACAGTACTTATTTAATAATATAATAATAATAATCTCAGGACAATTCACACAGCGCCATCTAGACCCAAGTTAAGCTAGCTAAAGCTTGTGTTATGGGTACTAGATAACTGATACAAATACATAGATATTTTTTTTTGTAAATACATACATATTATACATAGAAAATACCCAGACCTATACAAAGAATCATACTCATGAATGTTTGTGCCGTGCGAGGAATCGAACCCGCGACCGACGTAAAGCAGTGTGCTAGACCGCTAGACCACCGAGGTCGTCATTTATATTTATGAATATAATTATTTGTATTAGTCTACATATTTACTATTTATCTATGTAGAAAAAAAAATGTTTCTTACCATTTCTATCAGTCGTCTAATACCCATAACACAAGCTCTACTTTGGTTGGCGCTGTGGTAATGTTCTAGAGTGATTATTATTTTTTACATACTTCTTTCTTTCTTACTAAACGCCAACCATCCTTCTCGCAGGTATACCTATCAGACTTAAATCCTCGAGTACATCATTCACTTCAATCCGCGGCAACCTAACAGCTACAGGAGACATAATCATCAACAATGATTTACATTTGAGGTAACATCGTTAAATACATTTAATTAAATTTGGTGTTATTTTGCGGAAGTCTATTTCATTACTTAATAGATTTATATTATAATAATAATAATAATAGTTCGATATCGTGGTGATGGATCGGGCACTTTCGAGGGTGTTTTTGGTGGACATCACCATACCGCATAACGAGAACCTCGTGAAAGCCAAAACTGAGAAAAAGAGAAAGTATCTCGATCTGGCTCACGAGGTGACCGAAATGTGGGGGGTGATGTCCACCGAAATCATTCCAATCGTTATATCGGTGAACGGTCTTATCCCAACCAGTCTGGAGCAACATCTCAGACGGTTGGGATTCCGAGGCGGCTCACTCCCGGGAAAGATGCAGAAAGTGGTGCTGTTAGATTCTGCCCGCATTGTACGCCGGTTTCTCTCCCTGGGGCCCTGAACCCCGGCCGACTGTGCTTCTGCCGGGGGTATGTTGCCATCTCCTCTCCTTAAGAGGGGAGATGAGAATTTTTGGGAAAAAAAAAATAATAACAATAGTTCAAACTGACTACAAACACAGACATGATCAAGTAGCAAACATCATACATCAAAAACTTGCCGAACAGAACAACTTTATTACTTCCCTACAACCATACTATAAATACAATCCTGAAAGCGTATTAGAGAACTCTACAGCTAAACTCTACTTTGATCATGCTATTCTCACAGATCGAGCCACACATTACAATAGGCCAGACATTACACTAATAAGCAAAACCAACAAAACAGGATACCTGATTGATATCGCTGTCCCCAATACACACAACCTGCAAAATACGATAGCCGAAAAAATAACAAAATATAAAGAATTACAAACAGAAATAACCCGACTCTGGCACTTACAAAAAGTAACAATAGTCCCAATCGTCCTCTCAACTACAGGTGTCATACCGAAACACATGCATCAGTCACTAAATACCCTGAACTTGCCCCCTAATATATACTGCCAACTACGGAAGGCTGTAGTTCTAAACACATGCCGCATTGTTAGAAAGTTTCTACAGACAGATTAGGTCTACATTTGTATTATGGTATATCCACCTGAAATAGAACATTGTTATGTACTTGGCTTAGGCCCGTACATACCAAGATTACCGGCGGAAGTCGAGAAAAAATAATATAAAAAATAAAATAAAAAATAAAACTCTTTATTGTGTACACATAAAATAATAAGACAATACAGTAAATAGTAAAATAATAATAAAAGGCGATCTTATCGCTAAATGCAATCTCTTACTGACAACCTAGAAGAGAGAACTTATGTACATAGAATAGGGTAGGTGGCACACATAAGACACTATTTATTATACTACTAGATATACATTAGGGATAAATATATAAACCTACATATATACTACATATTGGAAGAAATGAGAAAAAAATAAATAAAATAAAAACATGTACTATGAAGAGAGATAATGAGATCTTAGTCTACATTTAAATGATGCATGTGTTTGAGCTGATCGAATGGAGAGTGGTAGAGAGTTCCAGAGGCGAATGGCTTGGACAGTGAAGGAGTTGGAATAATATGTGGAGGAGTGAGCAGGGATCGTCAAACATAGGCTTCTGGTACTACGCAAAGCAGAACCGGGGGATTTAGTATGAAATTGGAACTTGGTTTTTAGATATTCAGGGGTGGAGGGGTGGAAAACAATAGAGTAAGGGAGGGATAATATATGAAAATTCCTGCGAAGACGAATGGGAAGCCACTTGAGTTGACTGCGAAAATTGGAAATGTGGTCATACTTACGGAGACCAGAAATGAATCGTATGGATATATTTTGGAGTCGCTCAAGTTTATTTAATTGTTCTTCAGTGAGATTTACATAGCAGGAATCCGCATAATCTAGGATTAGAAGTAATAGGGTATGTGCAAGCGCAGTCTTGGTGTCAACTGGCAGGAAGTACCGTAACCTGTTAAGGCTTCCGATAGCAGCAAATATTATTTTGTTTAATTTCGCTACTATCAGCATGTGTGAGACCACAAATTCAGTATGATTCAAATTCAAATTCAAAAATCATTTATTCATGTAGGACATTTTAGCCGCTTATGAACGTCAAACTTTTTATATTACATTTTGCCCTACCATCCAGTTCAGTATAAAGGATCAATTGTAAATTATAATGCAAAAATTATAATGTAAAACTTGACGTTCATAAGCGGCTAAAATGTCCTACATGAATAAATGATTTTTTTTCCCTACCGTCCAGTTCGGTATATAGATCCAATTGAGAAGAACTGGCAAGAAACTCAATTGAATTACTTTGAACTTGACTACCGTTACGATCTTCTCTATTGCTGATCAAATTCCGACCTTTATTCAGTCTACACCCGTATTGCGACATGTGTTTCGCCTTTGAAACATCATCAGGCATTGATTAAAGTTCGGATATAGCTTGGAAGACTAGTGTTGACTCTTCGGAGTCGTGGTTTGGTCGCCGAACAGTCATACGTAATCGTCGTAACGGTAGTCAAGTTTCCGCACTGAATATTTGTGGTCTCACACATGATAATGGCAGCGGAATTAAACAAAATAATATAAATACATTAAGTAATGAAATGGACTTCCGCAAAGTAACACCTAATTCTAAAAAATATATGAGAGTCTTACAATAAATAAATTGAGTGGAAATAAGCCAACAAATAATTTCTAAGTTTACAATAAATAATTAATCCAATTGTAAAATAGTTAACTGTAGTGTACACATATTTTTGGTATCTGCGCTCTAGCCCCCAAGATACAGGACTGACCTAGTTTGGAGACTACACATAATAGAAATAAAGAATTGTATTGTATTAAATATGTCTATGTAAATCGATATATAAGTGTAAATGTTAATATATATAAATAAACTAGCTTTTGCCCGCGGCTTCGCTCGCGTTAATTTATCCCCTTAGGGGTGGAATTTATCAAAATCCTTTCTTAAAGGATGCCTACGTCATAGTAGTGCTTTATGCATACAAAGTCTCAGCCCGATCGGTTTAAAATTGACAAAGTTTCATACAAACTTTCATCCCCTATTTTATGCCCTTGGGGGTAGAATTAATCAAAATCCTTTCTTAGCGGATGCCTACGTCATAACATCTACCTGCATGCCAAATTTCAGCCCGATCCGTACAGTTAGGCTGTGTGTTGATAGATCACTATGTCAGTCACCTTTGAGTTATATATATATATAAATAAATAAAACAAATCTAATCAAATCAACAGATATCAGGTGCTGAATATTTGTAGTCGCTAATGATAGCGGAATTAAACAAAATAATATAATTAAGTAATGAAATGAACTTCCGCGAAATAACACCTAATTCTACAAGACATAAGAGAGAATTTGCAAAAATACAGTAGGCAGCGAATGAGTCAACAAAATAAAACAAATCTAATCAAATCAACAGATATCAAGGTACTACGATGACTTCGCTCTCCACTGATGGGTTGCTGCTGCAGTCTGAACATACGGTTCGAGTTCAGAGTTCGGTGGTTGCATATTTGCCCATGAATTTCAATATGACTACTTCAAAGGAAGGGTGAGTATTGTGTCTTGTAACAAAACTAAATTTAGTACCTTGCTATTAATAGGGTCTTTAGTTCCCATTATTATCACTACCAATGGGAGCGGGTTTGATTCCTCACACGTTCTCAAACATTTGTGTTTGTATTTTTTTTTCTCATGATGATAATGTCACCCTGTTTAAATTATTAACCGGGTCTTAAACGTCGAGATAGGTAAATACCTTCATTTGCCATAAAAAAATTAAATAATATAATTGTCACCTGCGCTAACGGTTTACACTGGTAAGAGAGAAGTGCAGGATGATCAGGTCAGATCAGCAGGTCAGTTAAAACATCATGATAAATTCTACATGAATTTATCACGATAGTGTCCAGGGTGGATCGCGAGGAGCTCAACCTGACATGGTACATTGCTAGTCATGGGGTTCTTAGTCCCATCCCATTCCCCCTTTCCATGTATATTATGTATGTATTTAGAAAAAATATCTAAGTATTTATATCTGTTGTCTAGTACTCATAACACAAGCTCGGCTTATCTTAGGACTGGATGGTGTCGTGTGAATTACTATTTTTATGACGCACGGTTTTTTATCTACGATGGTTGCAAACAGGCATACGGCCCATCTGATGGTAAATGTGACTGTAGCCTATAGACGCCTAAACACCAGGAGTGTCAGTTAAAGTAAGATAACTATTTCTAACTTCTTCAGAATCACATGGTCCAACGTGGTCGGCCAAAAAGGAGGTATAGCCATGCACACAAGAACGCAGATATCTAAACAGACAGACAAACAATTCAACGTGTACACCATCGACAATGACGAAGAGGTAAATATTGCAATTTTTTTTTATATACCTTCAGGGTCAACTTGATGATAACTTTAAGGTCTTGGATGCACCTTTCGATCTTGGCTCTGATTCCACACTTCACCAGCATGTGGACACAGATAAGAAGAAGAAAGTGGGACTCACCGACAAGGTCGACTTGATGACAACTTGAATGTTTTGGGTGCACTCTTTGTTCTTGACTCTGATTCCACTCATCACCAGCATGTGGACAGAGATAGGAAGAAGAAAGTAGGGTTCCACAGTATTATCCATAGAGATTTATCTAGATAGAAAGAAGAAAGTAGGACTCACCGACCGGGCTGACTTGATGGTAACTTGAAGGTCTTGGGTGCACTCTTCGTTCTTGACTCCAATTCCACACACTACCAGCAATTTGTTTCACAATTAGAAGGCACTGAACAAGTAAATTTACACTGATTTTCTAGTTTTTCACTTAGAATGTCAGCAATGTCTATTGTTGAGGGATATTCATTGTGGGACCAGTCTCTACAAGCAGCACCCGTTCTATACTCGTCAACTGCTGCTTGTGGGAAATCTGTTCTGGTTACAGCCACAGATTAGCTATTTCCTATTGACAAAATTGCAATAGCATATGCTGGTGGTCACTCTATTCTACCAAATTTGAATTTAATAATGAATCTGTGTTTTTGAAATCATGTACAAGTTCATTTGAAAAGAATAAGAGCTGAGTTTCTCGTCAATTCTTAGCTCAATGCACTCCGAACTGACGGTAGATTTGATATATCATAAGAGTCTGTAATAGACCTACATGAATAAAGATATTTTGATTTGATTTGATTTGATTAATACCAAGCAATCTATTAATTGTTTAATTACGTTTTCGTCGTAATTAATGATAGGTAACAGTGCTACGCCGTTTCTAAATGGTTATAAGACATTTTAAAATACAATAACAGAGACAAATATTAAAATCCTTTCAATCAATAATTCAATTTATCAATTTCAATTAATCAGTAAATGGGATATCAGAGCTTGATCCACTACCTGTTTAATAAATAGATGACACAATTTTTTAAATTTTTGGACATATAGCCACTATTTTATTTTTAATCTGTCCCTAAATTATATGATAATTTCACTGCACAAATATCACTCAAATGCTAACGGTTGTCATAGTAACCACATTTTTTCTTTAATAGTTTCATACTGTCATTTCGGCAAAATAGCGATTCTGTGACATTGCAACGAGGTTACTGAATCGACATACGATAGATTGACTGTCTGGTCAACCGCACTCCCCTAGGGAGGTGAAAGTTGGGGCCTCGGGGCGAACCCCTTTGCCCCGGCATCTACTCTGGGGGCAACAACCTCCGGGTGGCTAGTTCAAAGCCCCTGGGGCAAGTATACATAAAAAAACTACTTAAATTAGCTTAATAAACATAGTGCCATACTTGGGAACTTTTTATTTGTAACTTTTTTTTCGATACAAATATTTTTTTTCTGTATCTCATGTATATTATGTGTCTGTAATTGTTGAATAAAGAACTTTGAAGACTTTATCTATCTATCAACTATTTTTTATCGATATATAAAGTTGCGTTTACGTTGCAATGCTAGTTCACAGCGTCAAATGGCGTCAATATAATCGCATTATTGACAGATGACGTCATTTTCCCTACGTTACATACGAAAATCGCTGCGATCGAAATTAGATAATTAGCCCACAGATCATACGTTCATATAACTGACACCGGTTGGCGGGAAAATTTAAATTTGGAAACGGTTAAGTGAATCTAATGAATTGTTTTGATTAAAACAAAAGAATACGACCGTTTGTTAATTTAATTCAATTTAAAAAAAATAATTGTCCAATAAATTATAGTACAAAAGGCGGACTTAATGCTATAAGTTCTAGGTATAATATTCTTGTTAATTTATCTTCCACATATTTATAGTTTACTTGAATGATAGACTTCAGATATCTATAATCTATGGCCTGGCTACCTATTGCCTCAATATTCTAGTAGAGATACGCACTACAGTTCTAAAATATGTAACTGGCCAATAATAAAGCGAATCTTTAAATAAAAAAAGAAAAAAGAATGAACGTCCGCCATCTTTTGTATTTAGTTTATAAAAATGTCATAAGAACTAGGCAATATGCTGCGCTTTTTCTGCATTAAATAATTATTTTATATCTACACGAGTCACAGAACGGTTCTGGAAAATGATTCCTAGACGGATAGACCATCTGTGTTTATTATTAATACAATTTCGCGAGTGGTTTTCGTTATATTCCGCACGAGGCTGTCCCCATTTCCCTGACATCCGGAAGTCGTCTCCCTGGATACAGTATACTTCTTGTTCTTTAACAGTGCTCTGAATTAGATTTCAGGTGGGTACCGTTTTTTATGGGTATTTGTTGCCGCGCAGTCAGGGAGTATATAGATTTTTTTATGGATGATAATAGAATGGTCCACCTGCCTGCTCTAACGGTTTATAAAAATATTTGTTTTTTTTTTTTAAAAAAAGAAAGAACGTATCCTATATTCATTGTAATAACTCCAAAAACATGTGTACAGAATTTCGTAATGATCGGTTCAGTAGTTTTTAAAAGCGTAGCAGACATTCCTACTTTCACATTTATATTATAAGTAAGTATATAAGTGCAGAATAATAAATCATTAATTCATAAACTTAAGAGCAACGCCCTTGTCGGTAGAGCTCTTTACACTTTCTACGATCTTCCATCGTACTCTTTAAGCCGAAGAATAATATTTATGTATGTGACAAATACACGTATATATATTTGTTTATTGTTAAATTCTGCGGTCAAATTTAGAATATATTAATATTGTTTAACTTTAATATAATTTGTCTATAGTCTTACTGAATGTCAAATTATTTATGGTCGGATCTCAACCACTGATGAATTAACCGGTTTGTATTGATATGCGGCGATCTATACTGAACCCACACACAAGCATTCTTATGTAAAGTGTAACTATAACTACCATATGGTAATTTTTAGTAGCTGTATCCAATACTAGTTGACCCGCTTAACTTCGCCTGCATCACACTTACACACCCTATTTACATAATATCTTTTTAAATTATATCCTATGTGTTATTCAGATGTATAAGCTATATTACTGTAAAGTTTCATCAAAATCCGTTCAGTAGTTTTTGCGTGAAAGAGTAACAAACATCCATCCATACTCACAAACTTTCGTGTTTATAATATTAGTAATATCTGACACTAATAAATTAGTGCTAGTTGGTGGTTTGTATTCAACCCGACCCCAGATACATTTCGAATTGGAAATGTAAAGTTACAACAATTATTCAAAAGAGCAATACGCAAGTTTCTTGCTCGTTCTTCTTGTGATGAGACAGCTTTCCGAATGAGCGGTAGATTGAAAGAATAATATCTATGACTGTTCAGAAGTGCTTAAATTAAGTTTATTTGAATAAATTATTTTATTTATTTATTTAAACTTTAATGCCCAAATACAATATATAAATGTACATATGTCGAACTTAACACCTAAGGGCGTTCTCTACCAGTCACTGAGAAGTTAGTAAGCGGCGTATGGGACACAGTCACCTAGATACATCAAAATAATAATTGCATTTAATAATGTCTAGTAAGACAAATTCAATATTGTGTACTAAGCACTGCCGTGTCTAAACTGTGTCACCCCACCTTACATTTTCCTATTGTTATTTAGTATATAAGATCATTATTTCTATGTACATATTGTCAGTTTATTATCATCTGTAATATACATCGTCTTGATCACTCACCCGCAACACAGCGCACTATTCTATTCTATTCTATCATTCCGCCAGTTTGGTAAGATTTTCATAACTAAATGCTAACCATTTAGTTATGAAAATCTTTCCAAACTACGACATTATTATTATTATATGGTTTATAAATAATTTCCAGGTTGAAACGGATGCATTCGCAGACTGTAGCCACGACGCGACGGGATATGAAGTATTGGATAATATGTTGGTACTTAATAGCGATAAATTCGGGTGAGTTATCTATACATTTATACATCTATACATATAAATAAAATTGGAGTGTCGGTTTGTAATATTGAAGTAACCGTTTTTTAACTACATCCATATGAATATAAATACGGTACATACACCAAAAACATTTTTTACAAATTTCGTCTGTCTGACTGTCTGTTTGTTCCGGCTAATCTCTGAAATGGCTGGACCGATTTTGACGAGACTTTTATTGGCAGATAGGTGGTGTAATAAGGAGTAACTTAGGCTACTTTTATGGGCTATAAAATCTTTCAAGCCATATAAATCACCATCGGGAGAAGATGGAATTTTCCCGGCCTTTAGAAAAATTCTCTAACTTTTTTGAAATTCCACGCGGACGAAGTCGCGTGTACAGCTAGTTTTGTAAAACGTTTAACATCGACTACCCCATCTGACCATGTGTTTATAATTCTCAGGATTTTGACCTCCATAAAGCAGTCGGTCTTGTTCCTGAAAGGTATGGTGCAGAGTTCAGCCCCAGCTCCGTCCTCCTGCGGGGTCCTTCTCCCGCCACAGCGTATAGCAACGGATGACAAAGTTTTAGATATAACAGTGAAAATCCTAAATACCACGGACTTTTGGGATGATGGGATGTTGATAGATCTGTCATCACAGTTCAAATATTTCAGGTAATTAAGTAATACATATACCGAGAGACATGTGGATATGTCAAGTATTGCGTTCACAACATCGACAGTTGACAATGACTCTGACTACTCCATCAAAGATAACAGTCGTGAAGTTATCTTACTATTACCGATACTACAGTGAAAGTACCAGGAGAACATGACTCGCAAGTAGGCTACAGCCTACCGCCGACTATTGCAATAATGTGTTTTCTTTATTCAAATATACCGAGCGAAAAGTGGACATGTCCAGTGTTGCGTTCACAACATGGACAGTTCATAATAACTCTGACTACCCCATCAAAGATAACAGTCGTAACGCTGTTATAAACATTTAAGTGTGTGATAATTACCTTAGGATTAAGACCAGAGCCTTGTCTTAAGAATGTCCAAACATGAAACAGAACCGTATCTACGCTAACAGTATACGCTGGCGGCGCACCAATGGAGGATGATATGGTAAGGTCAATTAGCCCATCATGACAAATTCACCATGAATTTAACATCATAATGATACAACAACTCAGAACAGAGTTCTCTGGCGCAGATGTACAAGGAGACCCGACCCCAGATAAATTGGGAGTATGGGTTGGACAGAAAGAGAGAGGTTTCTAGGGAGAACATCATAGCGAATTAACGAGTTTCCAGGGAAGAAACGCGTAAAGGTCAACCTGACATTGCTAGCATGGCTAAATAATGTAGCATAGATGAACTAGTATCTAATATAACAAATAAATCAAAATATAATAATAATAGGCAATGTGTGAATTATGTATTACTTTATTTCAGCAACGAGAACCCCGAAGTAGTATTGTTTGATGTGAAAGCTGACCTCAAAATACGCACCGAAGACGAGAACAAAACTATTTTGTACACAGTCAAGGGCCATCAGCCAGAAATTTCAGATTTTGCAGTAAGCATTATTTGATTAATTGTTTTCTAAATAATTTAAAAGACGAACTTCTCAGCATTCCGTGGATTGACGGTGTGGGTGCCGGGTCCAAGGTTTGAGAGAGGGAAACTCCTTCCAGTTCCCGGGACTTGTGACCCGGGTGTAGGTTTAGTTCCCCTTGCCGATGCACGTCAACACTCACCTTCACCGAACTTCTCAGCATTCCGTGGATTCACGGTGCGGGTGCCGGATCCAACGTTTGGCAGAAAGGGAACCTCTGAGCAGTTCCGGGAACTTGTGACCCGGGTGTAGGTTTAGTTCCCCTTGCCGATGCACGTCAACACTCACCTTCACCGAACTTCTCAGCATTCCGTAGATTCACGGTGCGGGTGCCGGGTCCAACGTTTGGCAGAAAAGGAACCTCTGAGCAGTTCCGGGGACTCGTGACCCGGGTGTAGATTTAGTTCCCCTTGCCGATGCACGTCAACACTCACCTTCACCGAACTTCTCAGCATTCCGTGGATTCACGGTGCGGGTGCCGGGTCCATCGTATGGCAGAGAAATTCTGAACAATTCCCGGGACTTGTGACCCGGGTGTAGGTTTGACAATCCCCTTGCTGACGTACACATTAACACTCACCTTCATCGCTACTGAATCTCCTTGCATTTTGTAATGTACATAATAGAAATGGCAAACAATCGTAGGAACTACTACCATATAGCAATACTCATGATGTCATCTGATACACATGCGTTGCTATTTCGGAGGGCTAAAATGTTATACCTCTAAATGATGCAATGTCACTGCCTAATCGCCACCTTTAAACAGAAACACATACTGCACATATTGGTCTGGGAATTTTCTATGTACACTTTGAACAAATAATTATCTTATTTATATCACTTGTCTAGTATCCACAACTTAAGCTTAACTTGGGACTGTGTGTCCAGAGTTATTTTTTTCCTGGGCAATTAACTTAGCGCCACTAGTCCCACGGTAAGCAGAGCTTGTGTTATGTGTACTAGACAACTGATATAAATATATATATATATATATATATATATATATATATATATATATATATATATATATATAAATATATATATATTTAATGTAATATATAGAAAAACCCAGATCGATATAAACAATCACATTCATGAATACAAATGTTTTCACCGTGCGAGGAATCGAACCCACGTCCATCGCAAGTAAAACGGTGTGCTAAACCGCTAGACTTCCGAAGCCGTCGATGATTATTAATCATCATTTGCTTATCCCATTTCTGGGGTCGGCATAATATGTTTTCAGTCCCTTTTTACTTTCATTCATCCCTGTTGGCAGTCATCTCGTTGTTCTCCCTTTCTTGTCACTTAGTCCATCCATCTTCTGGTGGCTTTCCAGGATTATTATTATTATTATTTACTATTCCAGATATGCTACGAGCAGAAGTATCATACGTTCAAAAGTCTAGATCACGATATAACAACAGCTCCGCTCCAATACGAAGGTTATATGACGTTGAAGTTAGATAACAAATCGGCGTGTTCAGCAAATCCCGAGCAAATGTTGAAAATCGCGTACAATGGAAGACCCAGACATGAACCTGAGTCTAACGAGAGATATTTGGCATTTGAAGGTGTTACTAAAAATGTAAGTACACTTAATATAAATCTAGGTCTAGCTAGCGGTTGATTTAGTATAATTTCCAATGTTTTTGGTAAACAAACTGGCGATTCACCTGATGGAAAGATTTAAACTATTCTAATCCTGTTGGCCGCAGCTATTCTGTACATTTTTCCCTGATGAAAATGGGGACACGTTCAGCCGGTAAATCCGTGGAACGTATGGAACGACTGAAGGCCAACTCCTGCTTGACGGATACGACTTTAGTCTGAGGGTACCGCTAGGAATTCGAACGTAGACTCAGGTCGTCGTAATTCCGAGTTCCATTTGAATAGAATAAGGGATTGATTAGAGTAATCATCACTGCCTGATGATGCCTTGTTCCGAGTCTAAACATATGCGTATAGACTCAGTAACGTTTGCAATTCGATCACAAATAAAGAAAGTCGTAACGCTTCCGGTAGTGGTGGTCATGTTTCCGCACTGAATATTTATGGTCTCACACATGATAATTGTAGCGGAATTAAACAAAATAATATAAATATATTAAGTAATGAAATGGACTACCGCAAAGTAATAATAATAATAACGTAGTAACGTAATAAAGTAACTAAAATACCATCCTGATCATATAAATGAATGAAACCTCCATGAAATCAAACTCGAAAGCACTTAGGGGGAAGAGGGTAAGAGAAGGAAGATAAGAGAAGAAGGATGCGGTGTGCGGTTTTCTAGAAACTTTTTGCCGCGGACAACCACATTGTGGAATCACCTTCCAGCAATGGTATTTCCGAACCGATACGATATTGAAACCTTCAAGAAAAGAAATTCCTTTTTAAAAGGCCGACAACGTACTTGCAAATCCCATGTGTGGGTGTGTTGCGGGTGCTCATGGGCCGCGGTAATCACTTACCATCAGGTGAGCCATATGCTCATTTGTCCCCTGTGTTATTAAAAAAAGTAATACAAAATTTAATAAAATATACATACAATTAATATTATATGTCAATATAGATGGCGTTAATAATTTCCGTTAATTTCAGATACCACTCAGTATAATGTTGAATTCACTAAATCTAGAGAAAGCAATTCCATTACTACCCTCGCAGCCTACCAAAGATGTCAATGTAGAATTTTCTGGAGTTCTGAAGGTAAAATAATAACCACTTTTATTATATTACTACTATATATATATACTTTTTCTATACTAATGTTATAAAAAAATCGGCCTCGGTTCTCTAGCACATCGCGCTTAGCGCTTTACTCCTGATGGTCGCGGATTCGATTCCTCGCAAGGTCTACATTTGTATTCATGCCTATGATTGTTTGTATCGGTCTGGGTGTATTCTATATACCTATATTATTTATGTATCTACAAAAAAATCTAAATTTTTATATCAGTTGTCTAGTACTCATAACACAAGCTCTGCTTACCGTGGGACTAGATGGCGCTGTGTTAATTGTTCAGGGTTATTAGTAAAGTTGTTGAGGTTTTAGGGAGGTCTAGATCTATTAAACTGATTTAGAAATTCTTTTTTTTTTCTCTAGTCATAGGCTATGTGACATTCCGCTACGACTAATAGGAGCGGAGCTTAGAGCGGATTGGGACGCAGACGAAGTTGCGTGGGTCAACTAGTATGTAATACAATGGCAATAGTTAAGTAGTTTATGATACCATCGCAGACAAACGTGACAAGGAATGTTTAAATAAACATTTTTTTTTAAATATATAACATTTTTTTTATTTTACACGCATGTATGTCTAAAAATACCAAGATAATTCGTTAATTTTCGTGTCATATAATGATGGAATGCTAAATTACGGAACAACTGTTGCCATTGTATTACATACTAGCTGCCCCACGCAACTTCCTCTGCGTCACAAACTGCTCCAACCTCATCTCCTACTAGTCGTATCGGAATATTATAAATCCTTCGTCGATAAATTGTTTATTCAACACTAAAAGAAATTTCATAATCGGATCTATAGATCCAGGATACCCTACAACATCAACTTTACTTTTTTATAATATTAGTATTGAAATATGTATCTATCGGTATCTCTTCAAAAAATTGTCCAATTCTAATCATGTCTTCCCTGCAGAGGAGAAGGAGATGGCAACTAATTTTGGGAGCGCTATCGCACTCCTGCCAATTTTGGGACACAACACTTAGAAGAGCTATCGTGCTTCCTGCGCGTGTGTCCCAAAATATCACGCTTCTGGTAATATTGGGACGCACGCGCAGAAGAGCGATAGTGTGTCCCAAAATTCAAAGAGTTAAGATTAAAATGGTTCGTACATCATCAGGAAAACAACGGCCTGGTGACGCTGACAGTGAACAACGCGTCAGAGATGAAGTTCAGGTCTCCAGACGTGGGCTGGTACCTGGACAGTTGGAGCGACAAGCAACTGTTTAAGAAACTTGGACTGTATAGTGAGTTAATAAGTGTCATTTTTAAATGGTTACTACTCTTTTTTTATACTACGGTGGTAGCAAACAATTATATGGCTCATTTGATAGTAAGCGATTACCGTAGCCTATGGACGCCTGAAATACCAGAGGTGCCACGTGCGCGTTGCCGACCCTTAAGAAACCTTAATATACCCTTCTTGAAAAACACCAAGCTGTAGTCTCTCGAGAAAACCTCGGCAGGTAGTTCATTCTACAATGTAAGTGTACGCGGGAGGAAGCTCCTCTGAAACTGCACTGTCCGAGACCACGTAGGTTCTAGCGTATGGAGATGAATTCCCTATCGATAGCAAGCGGTGCGATAGTAAATATCTCTTGTTGGTTGCTGGTGCCATCAGATATATTACCATTGCAATTCAGTAAAAAAATCCTTTTGTTTCAGAGGAGTGTCGCCTTCAGGAGTCTATCGTTACAACGTTGGAGGGCACCGTGATGCGGCTGCCCCCCATGACCTGCGAACGGAGCGTGGTTCTAGCGGATTGTTCTAAAAAACCCAGGTCTGCAAATATCCATATCATATGCTGGAGTCGCTTTATCAATAACAGTCACTCTACAGCGGGGCCCAACTCTGCGGGTATCCTATTAAGGAAGCGACTTTGTAGGCTAAAGCTTAGGGAGGGGGAGCAACACGGGAAGTGCCCCGGACGGCAAGTTCAGGTGCAGCAAATTCGAACTTGGCAGATGAATACACAACTCAAAATTTTTGACGCATCTTTGACAGCTTGACCACTATCAAACGGACGTCGAGTAAATGAAGATGTAACTGTTAAAAAACCACAATGATTAATAGCAATATAGTAATTTGACAATTATATGTTAACTTGCTATTTGACAACATTTAAATGTAAACAATCATAAAACAGTTCCGTAGTTTTAAAGATTTAAGCAAAAAACAGACAGCAACAGCGACTTTGTTTTAATATAAAAAAACGTTGAAGAGGGGGGGGGGGGGGGGATTCGTTAACGATAAAAATAATGTTTTTTTTCATAGAAAATCATTTTAAATAATTGTACATTCGAATCTGCACCATCGAGACAATATGGTACATAATATAACAATACAATGACAATATGACAATCATCTAGATTACACTAATAAAAGTGAAACGCGCTAATGTTTCGATTTTTCTCATATGTTGATATTTTTGTCAGACATGCCTCTCCATAATTTGGTTACACTGTAATTATTTATATAAAAAAAAACATCTATTAAAACAAAATACCAGACACACAGAAAAAAGATTTAAATTCAAATAAAACAGTTCCTTTGCATTCTTCGATAATAATGTTTTTATAGAAAAATGAATCTGCATATGACAATATCTGATTACACTAATAAGAGTGGTAGAATCAAAATATTACTATTCAAAAAAAGTGCTTGCTCATTCTTCTTGAGTGAATTATTTGAGATGGTAGAATCAAAATATGACTATTCAAAAGTGCTTGTAATGAGTTTATTTGAATAAAGATTATTTCTATTTCATCTGCACTCGCCCCCTATCGTCCGGTGAAGCTGTAAAGGCCAGCTGCGGCCAACAGCATTAGAGTAGTCCGAAAAACAAAATTGTACCTGTACCTGTATTTGAAACCGACCAATAAACCTTATATACACGAGTGTAGTATTTTGTTTTATAGTACCCTTAGGACCTTGTGGTTTTGACAAGCTCTGTTGCAGGTTTGCGGTGATACGACGCTCGCACGGCTCCCTCGCGGTGTACTCCGGGGGGCACTCGGTGGAGGTCCGCCGGGACGGACCCTGGTACGAGTCGGCCACGGTCTACGATAACCACCGGGCCAATAAGTTCCAGTAAGTGAACATTACGTTCTATACCTGTAAGATGTAATAGTAAACTTACATACTGTTGTATGTACGATTTAGAATAGAATAGAAAATCATTTATTCAAATAAACTTAATTTAAGCACTTTTGAATAGTCATAACAATTTGTTTTTTATCTACCACTCGTTCGGAAAGCTGTCTCATCACAAGAAGAACATATATATTCATAATAATAATTCAATATATTGTATTGTAAATAAACTGGCTTTAATAAAAATCAATTGAGCTTCTTGCCAGTTCTTCTCATAGGAGATTTTTCTGTTTATGCATGAGTGGGTTACAACTACATAGGATGTGTAGTGGCGTTTCTTAAGGCAAAATCTGCAGATTTTTTTCTATTCTAATATCTTTATTTTTGTCTGTCTGTCTGTCTGTTTGTTCTGGTTAATCTTTGAAATAGCTGGACCGATTTTAACGGGACTTTTATTGGCAGTTAGCTGATGTAATAAGGAGTAACTTAGGGTACTTTTATTTTCAAAAAATAAAGTTAAATTCCACGCGGACAAAGTTGCAATTCATGTAGGTCTATTACAGACTCTTGTGATGTGTCAAATCTACCGTCAGTTCGGAATGATTTCAAGATGAGAAGAACTGACAAGAAACTCAGCTCGTATTCTTTTCAAATAAATGTTGTACATGTTTACTTAATAATACAGATTCATTTTTAAATTCAAATTTGGGAGAATAGAAAATTTTTGTCTGTAAGACCACTGTTTTCCACAGCATCCAGCAGAATGAAGACACGATCAAAATAACTGCAATCGACGCGGATATAGAGGTATATGTGAAGTACGGGGAGACGGTGATCCTGCTGCCCAGCGCGTACATGTCCTCAGTCTGCGGGGAGTGCACGGGACATCTTCTGCAACCACCCAAAGTCTGCTAGTCAACCTTCGAATACTCGATGTCGTCGTTTTTAATACAGTTTGGAAGTGCCAAAGGAACACGCTTCCAGCTTTCCTGTTCGTGCTCCTGGAGGAATACAACCCTGAATTCTTAGAGTCTATGATGAATATGATAAATAACCCTGGACAATTAATACAGCGGCAAAAAGTCCCACGGTAAGCAGAGCTTGTGTTATGAGTACTAGACAACTGATATAATTTTTGTAAATACATGTATAACATACATAGAAATACTCGTGAATAAAATTTTTTGCACACTGCGAGGAATCGAACCCGCGACAATAGAAAGTTAAACGGTGTGCTAAACCACTAGACCACCGAGACCGTCAAAGAAGAATAGATATCTTCTGGGTATGCGCTATATGTCAAATCTACCGTCAGTTCGGAGTGCTTTCGAGCTGAGAACTGATAAGATACACAATATATATAGAAAATACTTTAAAACGATTGATTGGAAGTAAAGCCATATGTTACACCTCTTTACTTCCAATCATCAATAAGAATTTCAATTTTGGTAAAATACTTGACCAACATTTGGTCCATTATTTGACCTAAAATCTATTGGCCCAATATTGGCTCATAGTTTGTCCAATATTTGGTAAAATGTTGGCTACAATATTTGACCAAACATTTGATAATATTGGTACAAATATTGGTTCCATTGTTTGTACGAATATTTGTTTAAGTTGGATCAAATGGCTGTCTCAAGTTTGGTCCAATGTTTAATACAGTATTAAGCCAAGCTTGGTCCCAACGTCAGAAGGAATATGTCTGCCAATAGAAAGAATATAGTGATATCCAATTTATTATAAGTAAATAATAATTGTATGTTTATAATAATAATTTGTATTATTAAAACAATATTTGTGATTAATTTATTTCAATGAAATATTACTATGAGAATGTCATAACAAGTGTAATAAATAAAATATACTCTTTTATACGTTGTTTTAATTAAATGTATAATGTTTTTATATATTCATATTTCTTCATAAATGTATACATATAAATAAAATTGGAATGTCTGTTTGTAATATTGATATAACCTACCTACCTTAAAACAACTACATGCATATGAATATAAATACGGTACATACACCAAAATAACATTTTTTACAATTTTTGTCTGTCTGTTTGTTCCGGATAATCTCTGAAATGGCTAGACCGATTTTGACGGGACTTTTTTTGGCAGATAGCTGATGTAATAAGGAGTAACTTAAGCTACTATTATTTTAGAAAAATTAAGTTAAATTCAACGCGGACGAAGTCGCGGGGACAGCTAGTGACCTATAAATTCTTAATCAATAGTGGTAAGTTATAGCCTCTTTGCGAGTCATGTTCTCCTGGTACTTTCACTGTAGTATCAGTAATAGTGAGATAACTTCACGACTGTTATCTTTGATGGGGTAGTCAGAGTCATTGTCAACTGCCCATGTTGTGAACGTAACACTTGACATGTCCACATTTCGCTTGGTATTTGCCACAGACGGTCAGATCTTTTCTTATAGATGATAACGGAATGGTACATCCGCCTGCGCTAACGGTTTACGCTAGTGGGGCACCAGTGGAGGATGATAAGATGAGCATGAGGTCAGGTCAGTTAACACATCTTCGGACTACTCTAATGCTGTTGGCCGCAGCTGGCCTTTACAGCTTCACCGGACGATAGGGGGCGAGTGCAGATGGCACTCCAAACCAAAGGAAGGACTTATGGAGCGGCTGAAGGCCAACTCCTGCCTGACGGATACGACTTTAGTCTGAGGGCACCAATAGGTGTTCGAACTTCCACTCAGGCCGTCGTAATTTGGATCCCGTTTGAATAGGACGGGGGGAAAAATCTTGGCATGGTACATTGCTAGCATTAGGGTTATTAATCCACATTACTAACAATCCCCATTCCTTGATGGTTGTTCAAAATCTACCCGGTATCATCGTAAGCACAGATTATTATATTAGAATCCGTTAGTTTGTGTTCCCGCGCGTTCCCTTCCCCTCCCTAACTAGTAACAAACAGACTGTACAGCGGCCTTGACGCGCGCGCGCATTGTGTTGTGAATTAAAATAAATTAGAACTGTGTTAAACCTACTGTGCAACTGGAAAGCTAGCGAAGATATCTTCGAGACCCTGAAGCCCAAGAAATCCGCAGAATCATACAGGTACGTGACTGACGTTTCCCTAACATTTTGGTAGCAGAGTAGTCCCAAACAATGGTCATAATCCGAACTGACGACCTTTGGCATGCAACTCTGCTAGTAAAACACTAGGCATCGACATCATCTCTTCTTCCTTATCCCATTTATTTGTGGTCGTCGTAATACACTTTTCTCTTCCATTCATCTCTGTTCGCAGTCATCGCGTTATTTACTTCCTTTCTTACCATATCATCTTTCACACAGTCCATCCATCTCTTTTTCGGTCTTCCTCTGCCCTTATAACCATCCACATTCATATGTAACACCTTCCTTAAGATATGATCTTCATTCCTTTGATTCCTGACGACCTCGGTGGTCTAGCGGGCTAGTACACCGCTGTTCAACCGATGGTCACTGGTTCGATTCCTCGCACAGCACAAACATTTGTATTCATGAGTATGATTATTTGTATCGGTCTGGGTGTTTTCTATGTATAATATGTATGTATTTACAAAAAAATATCTATGTATATGTATCAGTTGTCTAGTACCCATAACACAAGCTTTAGCTAGCTTGACTTGGGTCTAGATGGCGCTGTGTGAATTGTCCTGAGATTATTATTATTATTCGTACCTACTAGGCATCGCCGTTCTGTCAAATTAAATGCCTTATCAGTACAACTAACAAACCAGTGTATATAATTTAGCCCGCACTTGAAATACTAAATGCGGGCCGTTAAACTTATATATAGCGAAAATATATTATTTTAATATTGTTTAGGAGATATGGCGTACCATTTACTGTTGCTTTGTCTTGTAGTGTACGCGTGTGGAACAGGTGTGTATGAATTCTTTATTTATTTATAATACATATATATATATATATATATACAAAATTCTCGTGTCACAGATTTCGTCAAGCCGTTCATCAAAATCGGTCAAGCTGTTTCGGAAATGGCTTGACCGATTTTGATGAAATTTTTATATGTATATTCAGTAGGTCTGAAGACAGGTTTATAACTAATTTTTATACCCCTAAGTGTTAGGGATGGCTCACCACCAATATTTTTTTAGTTTATCGACAATTTTTTTAGGTTTATGTTCTTATAATGTGGCATTAAAAAATATATACAACCCTAAATTTTCATCCCTTTATCCAACCCCTATTATTTAACAGGGATTTTAATGTATATGGCGAGCATTAAAAAACCAAATGATTCTTCAATGTAAAGTTGCATCACTTGGTAGAAGTCCTGTTCCTTGATATTTAATAGTATTGCCAAAAAAGCTGACTGTCCACCTGATGGTAAGTGGTAACCGTCGTCTATATACATGAATAGTACTACACATGGACATCACGTTATCATGTGACGACCGTGATACCACTGCTGCGTTGTCATTCCAGAGTACTAAGATGTCACGCCTCTTATCCTGTAATTTCATTGTCTATCTCTCACTACAAACATCTACAAATTCATGTTGCTCCTGGCTGAAATTTAATGTAGTTTCTTCTTCTTTACAAGTTTTTTATTATAATAGCAAACAAGCTACGGTCCACCTGATGGTAAGTGGTAACTGTCGTATAATTGTACATGAACGGAATCAAACATCGCGACCATCTGAAGAAATTGATACCGTTAGACTCTGTTATCATTCCACAGTCTCAGATTATTTGTCTTATCCTGTAATTTCACTGTTTATTCGAACCAGCAACCATCGATATACATCTTACAAAGCAAGCTGATTGCCTGAAATTACATTGCATTTCATAGTATACACACACAGTCGCTGTTTTTACGTCCCTATGTATGCTTAAATCTTTAAAACTACGCAACGGATTTTGCAGCATCGCTGTCTCCTATTAATGTCTCTTTTCTTGTCAGATATACATGTACATTTTAATAAAACAATCTTTCAGGGACCTTACAACAGCAGTCCGGAAGGCAAAAAAGGTAGGTTTTTATTTCTGATTATTACTCTCTAGCGCCATCTAGTCCCAAAGTAACCAGAGCTTGTGTTGTGGGTACTAGACAACTGATATAAATACGTAATTTTGTAATATACATAATACCAGACAGATACATAAATCGAACCTGCGAACATCGGATGTAAAGCGGTGCGCTAAACCGCTAGACCAACGAGGCCGTCGCCGTTTATTTAATTATTTTATTTCCATAAAATAATTAAATAATTCTTCTTTCTTACAACTATTTTTACAGGTCTTAATACAATAGCTTCATATGTCTACTTTTATAGTTTATATTAAACTAGCTTTTGCCGCGGCTTCGCTCGCGTTAATTTATCCCCTTAGGGGTGGAATTTATCAAAATCCTTTTTTAAGGGATGCCTACGTCATAGTAGCTATGCATGCAAAGTCTCAGCCCGAAACATTCATCCCCTATTTTATCCGCTTGGGGGTAGAATTAATCAAAATCCTTTCTTAGCGGATGCCTACTTCATAACATCTACCTGCATGCCAAATTTCAGCCCGATCCGTCCAGTGGTTTGGGCTGTGCATTGATAGATATATAAGTCAGTCCTCTTGAGTTACATATATTTATTATAATACAACTTCGCCTTCATAAACGACTAAAATATCTAAATGATTAAATGATTTTTGAATTTGAATTTGTCTGCCTCACGTTGTTCCCGTTATTGCAACATTTTACATTGCTTACCATAGCTTGGCTCCGATTAACCTGCTATGTTTAGCTTGGGACTAGATGGCGCTGTGTGAATTGTCCAGGGTTTTCTTTATACTACTATGATGACAACCAGGCATACGGCCCATCTGATGGTAAATGGTTACCGTAGCCTACGAACGCCTGAAACACCAGAGGTGTCACGTGCGCGTTGCCGACCC